TGGTGGTGTATTTACACGATGTAATACTCCCCAGCCATTAAAATGGATGGGCCTGAGCTACATTTGTCAGCACGTCTAGAGCTGGCCAAGGCACGTGTCTGGCTATGCCGCCATTCTGGAAAGGAAATGGGCACAGTCGTTTCAGATCGTGAGAAGTGTCAGGGGTAGATCAGGGAGAGGTGAGAAGGTGATGGGAGAGGTGCTAACTTCTATCAGGTGTATCTTTTTCTTTTTTTTTTGGCTGTGCTGCCGGCTTGTGGGATCTTAGTTCCCCCGACCAGGGATTGAACCTGCCCCCTCAGCAGTGAAAGTGGGGAGTCCTAATCACTGGACCGCCAGGGAATTCCCTACCAGGTGTATCAGAGAAGAACGTTACATGCCCCTTATTCCTCTGGCTTAGAATTCTCTTTTGCCTTTTTCCTTTCCATTGGGCGGGTATGGAGCTCCCCGGAACTTTCTTTTCTCTAGGTGCTAATGGAAAGCTGGTACTGAGTTTTGAAAATGTTGCAAGAGAAAAGGAATTTCAGGAATTTCCTGTTTCCAAGCAGCAGAGGGTAGACACCATTCCAGGTCATAAAATTGGTTCAAAGACTCTTATCTGAATAAAGTATGGAATTGGGAATAGTTATGAAAGTTCTGCCCAGAACCGAAACTTGTTCTATTTTCTGTTACTAAAAACTGTCCTTGGGAATGACATCTTGACATGTGCAATAACATGGAGAATCTCAAAAACATTATACTGAATGAAAGAAACCAGACACAGAAAAGCACCCTGTATCATTCTGTTTATGTGGAGCTCTAGAAAAGCCCAGTCTACTCTATGGTGACACAATGTCAGTCAGTAGTTGCCTGGGGTCAGGGGTGGAGGCAGGACAGACTGGACAGGGTCAGGAGGGAGCTGCCTGGAGTAATGGAACTGTTCTGTATTTTGATAGTGCTGGTAGGCACTCAGGTGTAGACATCTGTCAAGCCTTATCAACCTGTACAGTTAGAATGCGCGTGCACTTCATTATTTGTAAACTATACGTCAAGAGAGTTTGTTTTAAACAGTTCAAAAAAAAAAGTCCTTGGAAGTATTTTTACAAGGTGGGGGAGGGCCCTTTTAAGACAGTCAGACTTATTTTCAGATCTTGTAAAAATAACCTTTAACTTCTAAAATATTTGTTATTCTAGGGAATTCCCTGGCAGTCCAGTGGTTAGGACGCCATGCTTTCACTGCTGTGGGCCTGAGTTCCATCCCTGGTTGGGGAATTAAGATCCTGCAAGCCACGTGGCACAGCCAAAAATTTTAAAAAAAGAAAACAAATTTGTTATTCTAATTGGTTGTTACACTTGATAATTGTCCTGGTATTGATATTAAAATAGCAATCAATATATCAAGTGACATCCTTGTATTCCTAAAAGATACACACACACACACACACACACACACTCACATTCTCTCTAAGGATGAAAACTGGCAGTTCCCTTTTCTCTATATATGTATGAATATGTAATAAAACCCATGACTCTGTCAATCCCCTGTTCAAACATGAGTTTGAACGTCTTTTAGAGGCCGTATAGCAGAACGACCAAGAGCATAAATCTCTAACCAGGTTCAAATTCTACCTCTGGCCTTTACTTAACTTTTCTCAGTCACTGTATTAGTAACATGGGAATAATAATAGTACCTACTTAATGTTGTGAGAAGTGAATGAGTTAATACATGTAAAACACCCAGATAAGTACCTGGCTCTATAGGGTATAAGTCTGGATAGGCTAGTTATGCTGTAATAGCAAACAACCCCACAATCTTAGTTGTTTGAAACAATAAAGGTGTTTTCTATTTTTTTTTTACCATTTTATAATTTATTTGATTAGAAATTGCCAGATTCATGATGCACATTTCTCAAATAAAATTAGATTATAATCATTAGCATGATTCTAAACATGCTAATTTATAGATAAAGTAATGCTTAAAGTTAAGACAAATTTGAGACATATCATTGAGAAGAAATAGGAAAGGATTTTGAATTTATAAAAGCACAAGTTCTATCCCGAATTTTGCTACAGGTTTTTCTCTGATCTTGGCAAGTCACTAGCTCCATTTGTCTTAGTGTTCCCATCTGTAAAACTGTGGTCATGATCCTTGACACTGCCTTTCTTAAAAGAGAATGTTATGAGGATGAATAAGTTAATGCCTTGTGGCAGAAATAATAAAGGTTTATTTCTCACTCATGCCACACATCCATCACAGGTTGGAAGGGAAGCACTGATCACCCTCAGTCACTCAGGAATTCAGGCTGATGGAAGCTCAATTTGGACACATGCTTCCATGATCACCAAGGCAGGGAAAAGGGATGTGGCAGATCAGCACTGGCTTTTACATTTCTGCTATCAAAATCTCACTTGGCAAAAATAGCCACATGGTCACACCTAACTTCAAAGGGGCAAAGACCATGTGTCTAGAAAGGCGGAGGACCAGAAAAATGTTTGGTGAAAAGCACTAACGACTACCATGGTTAACTTTTTTTTTTTTTTTGGCTGCACCTTGTGACATGTGGGATCTTAGTTCCGCCAACCAGTGGAAGTGTGGAGTCCTAAACACTGGACCACCAGCGAAGTCCCAACCACTGGACCACCAGTGAAGTCCCATGGTTAACTATTATAATTGAATTTTAAAGTAGGCAGAAGAGGAGAACGCAATGAGGAGGTGACATTTAAGCCAATGCCTGAAGCACAAAAAAGGGGAAACTAGGAGAGCATTGTGTGCAAAGTCCCTAAAGCAGGAATGGGCCTGAAGCATTTGAGGAACAGGAAAATGGCTCAAGTGTTTGCAAAATGGTGAATAAGAGTGAGAGCTGGCAGGGCTGGGTCACACAGGCCCTTGAAGGCCACAGTAAGGAGTCTGAATTTTACTCCAAAGTGTACTGGGGAGCCACTGTTTAACCAGATAACATGGTATAATTTTTATAAAGACCACTCACTCTGCTTGCTCTGGTGGGATGGGCACGTGTGGAGGAAGGGAAATCAGTGAAGAGGCTACAATCCAGGTGAGAGATGCCTGTGGTGTGGACCATACTGGTCTGGGCCAGTATGATGTTGTGTGGAACCCACGGTCCCTGTAGACTATACTGACAGAGGATAAAGAAAGCGTAGGCCTCGGGCTAGACAGTGAATGTCTACCACTGCCCCATAGAATTACGACCTGCTTTTGATCCTGTCTTGTTGCTGAGGATTGAAAAGAACACGTTTACCACATCATTAGCCACATATCAAGTGCCAGAGGCTGTGTTGATATATTCTAGCAAAGAAACAGCTTCTGAGGGGCTTCCCTGGTGGCACAGTGGTTAAGAATCCGCCTGCCAACGCAGAGGTCACTGGTTTGAGCCCTATGCTCCATGCTTCATCCCCTGTACTCATAATGTGGGGTGTCTTGGGGCTAATGTGTGAATCTGTTCTCCACCTGCACTCATTTCTTTGGTGACCTTATCCATTCTCACTGCTGACAACTCCCAAATTTTCATCTCCAGATCCATGTTTGTACCAGGCTGCAAAATTAGTGGGGAAGGTAACTGGCCAATGGGCTTTACCCATCAGGATCTGGTCGTCAGGTTCAAACGTTCAGAAACCAAGTTATGTTGCAGAGCAACTAAGCCCGTGTGCCACAACTACTGAAGCTGCTCGCCCTAGAGCCTGCGCACTGCGACCGCAACTACTGAGCCCATGCGCCGCAACTACTGAAGCCCGCGCGCCTAGAGCCTGTGCTCCACAACAAGAGAAGCCACCGCAATAAGGAGCCCGCGAACCACAACGAAGAGTAGCCCCTGCTCTTGGCAACTAGAGAAAGCCTGCATGCAGCAAGGAAAACCCAACGCAACCAAAAATAAAAAATTAAAATTAAAAAAAAAGAGGAAAATCAACTTGCACTAACTAAATATATATAGGTTGACTCGCAAATGGAAAATCAATTTATTAATTTATAGAAGCAGATCGACCTTTACTTATTTTTGTCCATTTGCTAGTTTTAAAAGTCTCATTGGTTTGATTCTGATTATAAAAATAATGCATGTTCATGATAGAAATTTTCAAAAAATCAGAAAATACGAAGAACAAAATGAAAATCATCTATAACACCCATAATAACACTTTACAACTATCTAGATCTGTGTGGATATAATTTTAGCACTACTGGGATCATACTATATATACTTTTGCATCTTACTTTCTCTTATGTTTATATGGTAAGCATTTGGGGAAAAGAAAAACCTGTAGGCCTTGTCATTTCTTACAATATATTTATTTTTACCACCCTGGGAACTACTTTTTTTACGGCGTCAAGGTCCATTACCAGAAGGTTGCTTCGGTGAACATGAAATCAGAGCAAAAATTAATAAATTAAAAATAGAGTAATTGTACGAACAATTGCATCCAGGCCAGGTTACCTGTACCATAGACCCCCGCTCCTTGCATCTTTATGTGTGTATCCGCAATGCCAAGAGGGAGCGCCGGGCCCCTGGGTAGGGGTTCGGGGCCCAGGGGACCGCAGGTGGAAGCCCAGGGTCAAGGCTATAAGCCAGGTGGGCCTGCGCGAAAGTCACTAGGCATGTTGAGGCTTCGTCTGAGCTCACCGGTGTCCCGCAAGCATAAGCGAGTGGAGGTGTCCCAGGTCGGCCTCCTTGAAGCATCAGTGGTACCCCGGCCGTCTCCAGGTTTTCGCTGAGGCCCGCGGCCCTGGACCAGCCGCCCTGGGCGCGAGCAGCCGAGTATGGGAGGGCGAGGGAGGGCGGGGGAGGACGGAGGACGGCAGTGACCTCGCGGGCGCAGAGCCTGCGACCTCCGCCCTTCGGGGCCCGGGGTGGATCTCGGGCTCCCCGCTGGCCCTCCCCCGCCGCCGCCCTCCGTCAGGAAGGCGGGCCTGGAACGGCCTTGCGGGCGCGGGCCTCACGGGGTGCCTCCGGGCCGCGCAATCGCTTTCAACGAAGATGGCGCGGGGGCGGGACACGTGACTTCAGGCTCCACCCCGGCCCCGCCTCCCGCGCTCACGGCACCGGGCGGGGGACGCTGGCAGCTAGCGGCCCGCGGGAACCATGCTCCGGGGGTTGGCGGGCACCTGGGTCGTGGTCGGCGCGCTGCTCTGGGGCTGTGGGCTGGCGCTGCTGCAGGGCGGGATGCTCTACCCCCGGGAGAGCCGGTCGCGGGAGCGCAAGGAGCTGGACGGCCTCTGGAGGTTCCGCGCCGACTTCTCCCAGAACCGGCGTCGGGGCTTCGAGCAGCAGTGGTACCGGACGCCGCTGCGGGAGGTGCGGGCTCTGGGGACGGGGACCAGGGCAGGGAAGCTCCTGGAAGCCGGGTCGGGGGTGTGGGGAGTCTTCCCCTGAGCCCTCGGAACTGCCGGCCAGGAGGAGGTTAAAGATGGACGGGCCTGTGGGGGCGTGGGGTCGACCCACCTGGAGAGTGACCGGGAACGAGGAAATGGGCCGGCCCGATGTCGGTGGGGGAGGCGGAGTCGGAACAGTGTCCCGGCACCGACCTGGGGGCGGGTGGCCGCGCAGTGGCAGGAGGGGAGGCTTTGGACGTCTTGGGGCCTGCTCTGCCCTGGCAGGAAGGACCTTGGGTTCCAAGGTTCAGGTAGAGGATGGGGCTTGGCATCCAGCTGAGGATGCCCCTCTAGGCCTCCCGCCTGACTTGGATCGTGTGGGCTGAGAACTGGAGCAGGGGCAGGCCTGTGTGCCCAACCGACACTCACCTCACTTAGATCCTCTTTTTAAAGTCTTTGCCGCCCAGCCCTCATCAGCGGAGGAAGAAAGGGGCGGGCGGGGGCTGGTGCCAGGCACTTCTTGCGCAACTCAGAGTTTCCTCAGCAAACCGGCCCGTGCGCCCCGGCCAGCCTTCCTCCCTCCCTGGGGCAGTCAGTTGGTCATCTTCCTCTTAGTCAGGGTCTAGATTGACTTTGCAGATCCTTCTTGCCCTAGCCTGGTTGTAGCCATAGGCTCACCCCATTCCATGGAGATCCTGGTGCCTGCTGCCCGCTACCCTGAGAAAGAACTTATGGCCTCACCAGACCTTGGACACAAAGCATCCTAGCAGTTGGTCTCTCATCAGCAAGTTATCCATCCATTCATCCAATATTTGTTGAGTCCTTACTATGTGGCAGGGCTTGTGCCAGAAGCTGGGCAGACAGCTGTGAGGGACAGGAAATCCCTGCTTCCTTGAAGGTCACGTGTGTCTTCAGGAAGCTCTTCCCCAGGCTGCTTCCAGACTCACTGAGCTCTCTGCCCCACTCCTGCCTTGCCTTCTCCCTGAGGTGTTCAAGGGTGCGGAGGTTCAGGGGATTCCCTGCGGGGCTCAGATTCACCTGGTTCTGCCGGGACGTCCAGAGGTCGTATCTCAGGGGCCCTGGCCCCTAAGATAGTCCCCTGCCATGCTCCACGCTCTCTTCGTAGAGCTGCTCACCTGGCAGCAGAGGCCTTGTTCACTCTTTCATTCCCAGCGCCTAAAACAGCATGTAGGTGTTCACTGTGCACCACTGAGTGAGTGAGTGAGTGCGTGCGTGACTGGGTCTGCTTCATGGAGTCGCGAAAATTAAATGAGTCCGTAAAAGACATTGGTCAGTTGCTGGTGGGGTGGCCTGGAATCCGGGAGGGTCTGGGAGAAGTCATCTCGTCCAGCTTCTTCCTGTAAGTGGGGTTGCTGGGGAGGGCCCCTTAGCTTCCCAGGTGATCTGGACCTGATTCCGGTCCTTGTCTCCTCAGTCGGGCCCCAGCCTGGACATGCCGGTTCCCTCCAGCTTCAACGACGTGGGCCAGGATGGGCGGCTGAGGAGCTTCGTTGGCTGGGTGTGGTATGAACGGGAGGCCACCCTGCCCCAGCGATGGACCGAGGACCTGGGCACAAGAGTGGTGCTGAGGATCGGCAGCGCCCACTACTACGCCATCGTGGTCAGTGCAGCGAGCGGCAGGCGGAGCGAGTAGGGTGCCTGGCTCCCAGCCGTCAGCTGGCAGCCTGCCTCCTGCGGTGCCCTTGGGGTGGGGGGCACACTCATGCTTCGCACTGGGGTTTGTGCCCTGTGTGGGGAGGGTGGCCTCATCTATTCCCCCAGAGCTCCCTCCCTCCACCTCTGAGGCGGGTGGCAGCTGGCAGCCCGTCCCACCCGCTCCCCCCATACTGCACTTCTACGTGAGGGAGCACCTGAGATGGCAGGGCCCCCTCCTCATATATCCCTGTGTCTGCAGTGGGTGAATGGGGTCCATGTGGCAGAGCACGAGGGGGGCCATCTCCCCTTCGAGGCTGACATCAGCAGGCTGGTCCAGAGTGGGCCCCTGTCCTCCTGCCGCATCACCATCGCCATCAACAACACGCTCTCCCCCAACACCCTGCCGCCAGGGACCATCCTGTACAAGACGGACACCTCCAAGTGAGCAGCACCTCACCCCCCTCCCCGCTCTGCCCAGTGGTCTTCCCGTCAGGGGCAGGGTGGCCTTAACAGAGGTGAGGCCCTGGCTCCGGGAGGCCAGGGAGACGTGTGAGCTGAGGTCGAAGGACCCAGGGCAAGGCCACTGTCCTCCCATCCTAGGTACCCCAAGGGTTACTTTGTCCAGAACACAAACTTTGACTTCTTCAATTACGCGGGACTGCATCGGACTGTGCTCCTCTACACCACGCCTACCGCCTACATTGATGACATCACCGTCACCACCGACGTGGACCAAGACACTGGTGAGGCTCCTGGCAGGGTCTGCCGTCAGCCAGGCCCCCAGCGGCTTTGTTCCCTGTTTGGAAAGATCCCCTAGGAGAAAGACTGTCCCATCCACCTCAGCAGCTGGAATCCAGCCTGTCCGAGCTGGCAGGGGCTGTGGAAATCACCCATCTGCTCTGACTTCACTTTGGGAGGAAGCGGGGTTTGCCTCAAATGATAGCTCGTGGTGAATAACAGCCCAGGATGCAGGAGAACCCCATGTCCCTTCCCCACTGTGCCACCCTCACTTTATCTCCCCTCACTGCAGATTAAGCTCAAAAAATAAACGGCTGTCAGCTAGGGGCTCCTCAGAAAGGTGGCCTCAGGGCGCTCTCATCTGTGTGACCCCAGGTCACATCCCTTCCTTTTCTCTCTTGTCTGATCTGTCTTGTCTCCTGCAGGGCTGGTGAATTACCAGATCGTTGTCCAGGGCAGTGAGCACTTCCAGCTGGAAGTGTGTCTTCTGGATGAGGAAGGCACGGTCGTGGCCAAGGGGACTGGGGGCCGGGGCCAGCTGCAGGTGCCCAGTGCCCACCTCTGGTGGCCGTACCTGATGCACGAATACCCTGCCTACCTGTACTCGTTGGAGGTAATGGTGGTGAGGACTGGGCTGTGGGAGGCCTTTTCCCCCCATCCAGCAGCTCTGGCTTCAGCAGGCATGGTCCTCTGATCTTCCCAGTCAGTTGGATTGAAGAGTCCCCAGCCTGCCTTTTTCCAGCCCTTGGTGGGGAGGCCCAGTTTGAAGAGCAGGCCCCAGGGGCAGGGTGGGCAAAAGTTCCTTCTTTTTTAAATTTTTAATTTTTTTACATCTTTATTGGAGTATAATTGCTTTACGATGGTGTGTCAGTTTCTGCTTTATAACAAAGTGAATCAGTTGTACACATACATATATCCCTGTGTCTCCTCCCTCTTGCATCTCCCTCCCACCCTCCCTATCCCACCCCTCTAGGTGGTCACAAAGCACCGAGCTGATCTCCCTGTGCTATGCGGCTGCTTCCCACTAGCTATCTATTTTACGTTTGGTAGTGTGTATATGTCCATGCCACTCTCTCACTTCGTCCCAACTTACCCTTCCCCCTCCCCGTATCCTCAAGTCCATTCTCTAGTAGGTCTGCATAAAAGTTCCTTCTTGTTCATGGCGGATGCCTGTACTTCCTGCATCTCTCTACCTGCTGTTCCAGAGGTGGGCTGCCGTGGTTTGCAGGGAGCCATCCTGCCGAAGTGCGGGCTGCGTTGTGTTCAGGCCATCCAGGATGCCTCATGCCCAGTGCTTGGCTTTTGCAGGTGAAGCTGACCGCACAGACGGCTGCTGGGTTTGTGTCTGACTTCTACACCCTGCCCGTGGGGATCCGTACCGTGGCTGTCACACAGAGCCAGTTCCTCATCAACGGGAAGCCTTTCTATTTCCACGGGGTCAACAAGCATGAGGATGCAGACGTGAGTTGGGGCTCCTGAGTCCCTGTGGGGGGCCATTGCTCGCCATCCCTTCCTCCGCATCCCTTGAAGTGGTTGAGGGCAGCTCAGAGCAGTTAAGCAAACCGCTCAAAACCACTGCCCGATGGGGCCTGTGCTTGGCCTGGATAGCGGGCTAACAGGGTGACTCTGAGGGGCCCAGCTCTAGTAGGAAGGGCATCTTCAACGGGGACAGGGGGCAGGGGCTCACTCTGCTGTGCTGTCCCCTAGATCCGAGGGAAGGGCTTTGACTGGCCGCTGCTGGTGAAGGACTTCAACCTGCTTCGCTGGCTGGGCGCCAATGCCTTCCGCACCAGCCACTACCCCTACGCAGAGGAGGTGATGCAGCTCTGCGACCGCTATGGGATCGTGGTCATCGACGAGAGTCCCGGAGTGGGCATCGTGCTGGCGTGAGTGCCTGTCAGCCGCACAGCCCAGCCCGCCCAGCTTGGCGCCCTGTGACCCGCTCCCTTTCCTCCCCCGGCCCCGCAGCCAGAGCTACAGCAACGTGTCTCTGCAGCACCACCTGGAGGTGATGGAGGAGATGGTCCGCAGGGACAAGAATCACCCATCTGTTGTGATGTGGTCTGTGGCCAACGAGCCTGCTTCCTTCCTGAAACCAGCTGGTTACTACTTTAAGTGAGTGCCTCTGCCTTCCCCGGGTCAGGGGTGAGACCTCAGCCCTCTGGCCCAGCTCAGCCTCGGCTGGTAGCTGCAGGAGAGCTGCAGTGGGCCCTGGGGTGGGCGTGGGCTGTGAGAGGGTCAGCACCTGCTCCCAGCCCAGGTACATCCATACCTGGTCAGTTCAGGGGACCAAGTACCCACCCACCCAGATTGTGATTTCAACCCAGTGTCTCCTTGACACACCTGAAATGAAATCCAGAGTTAACCTAACCCACTTACACACATAACTTCAAATTAAGAAAGAAAAAATATAGTGACGTGGCCTAACCGTAGTATAAGGGAGTCATTTGTAAAATAATCCGTGAGTGCATGGGCCTGACTCCCCAGAAGATGCAGTGAAGGGGTCAGGAGCTTGCATCTAGATGTGGCATCTCCCTGAAAGCACAGCTACAAAAGCTGATGACGGGGGCTGGAGAGCATAGTTGGTGACTCTGATACCGTGAGCAGCGTTTTCTTCAGTGCTGCCCTCTTCTAAAACACTGAGCCACCCCAGGTAAAGTTGCAACCAAAACCAAGTATAGTCTTCCCTCGATTTTTATGGTATCTCCATTCCTGGGAAATTTAGTGCGTGTTAAAACTGCACAAAACCACTTTGTGATGCTTCGGGTTCATCTGTAAAGGGGAATTAAGCTTTATAAAGCCGTCTTACCTAGGCACGTAATTATAAACAGGTTTGAAATGACGTGCATGTTCTAACCATTCTAAGTTACATTGTTGGACGGGACCAGGCCATCTAAAGTTCATGGTCCGTTCACTGAATGCCAGTAGCTCCCCCCATCCCCCAGGCATTGCTGTGGACAGAAATCCCACTTAGGGGTCACCTCCCCACCCTGGGCTGGCTCCCCTCGGGGTGTTCCTTGGTTCCTTCTCTTTCTTAATGGTCATGCAGTTGTAGTGTAGCCTGGAGAGGGGAATTATTTCACTTCCTGTGGAGGCAGCAGAGGCCATGGAAATACTCCCTGAGGCAGACACTGCCTGCATCCCAGTGTCCCAGATGGAGGCTCTGAGGAATGGACCCACCCGGGTGAAGCTGAGCTCCGGACACACAGCCCCAGAGCACGTGGCACAGGGATGTTGAGCCAGGCTGGTGGACGGAATTTTTTCTGTGAACGTGAAAGGATGATAAGCTTCCAGGAGCAGGTGCCTGAGGTTTCCTGTGAACCTTTTTGGGAGGTGCGGAGAAGGAGAGGCTTGATTTGGGAGCAGTGGGGTTGGGGCAGGATGTAAGTAGGGCTGCCTGGGCCGGAGGTGCTCAGCTGGGCTTTGAAGCTCCCCAGGTGACAGACAGGCTGTTTTGGACAGTGGGTTAGGGACTTGCAGGTCGCAGGGCACTGTTCTGGCCTGTGGAAACCACAGCCTTCGAGTGAGAAGAGTTATAATGGGGGGGGGGGGCGGTGTCAAGGAAAAGAAAACCAGCTGTGAGGAAATAGAAGAGGAAAATAGGCTTAAACAGTGAGTGAGGGTGACCTGCGCTGGGGAGGCTGAGCCCTGACCGCAGACCAGCCCCTCTGTTGGGAAGCATCCTCTCGCCACCCCTCCTTGGTTAGCAGGACTCAGTGTAAATGCCGTGTCTTCAGAGAGGCTGTGCTGACGGTCTGGTCTCGGGGATGTGCCGCCTTACGGTCTCATAGAACCCCGTGCTTCCCCTTCATCATTCCCGCCAGCGCTTGTAATTTGTTACATTCGCCCGTGTGGCTTCGCTCCATGGAGCTTCATGGCTGTTTAAGTTTCTAGTGAGTGCCCAGCGCACAGCCTGCCTCCCAGCCCCCGACTTACGTGCTAAGTTAATATCCATCCTAATCCACACCCCGTCCTATTTTCAAGAGCTTCGCCAGAGATGCAGAGCCCAGCTTTTGGCAGTGCCCAGCCCAAGGACCTCTGCTCTGTGCCTCCCACCCCTGGAGGATGGCCTCTCCTCTGGGAGGGGTGGGGGACTAGGAACTGGGGAGGAAGGAGGAAAGAATGATGTCAGGGAACGTGATGCCTAGAAGAACGTGTCTGCTTACCTGAAATACACTGGAAGGCAGGGAGGAGAGCGGTGTCTTGGGGGTCTTTTTGGCTGGGAAGATGAGAAGGAGAGGATGCGGGATGAGAGTCCTCCCTGGACTGACTGACGGTGCCGTGTCTTCTGCCCTCCGTGGACAGGACGCTGATTGCCCACACCAAAGCCTTGGACCCCTCCCGGCCCGTGACCTTTGTGACCAACTCCAACTATGAAGCAGACCTGGGGGTGAGCCTGGGGGTCTCCATGCCACGTCTCCCCTCTGCCTGTCCTCTCATCCTGCCCGGATGCTTGCTGACATGAGCCGCTGGGAGGGACCACAGCAGCCAGTCCACCCATTTCCATAGATGGTCTTTAGGTTAAAGAGGACTGCCCGTTGACTTGCCAGGCAGTGTGGCTTCTTGAATCTAAGGAGGCTGGGCACAGGGAGGGCGAATTCATTCTCTGTTCAGACTCACCAGTTTTTATGCCCCTCAGTTTAATAGGCTCAGAAAAGGGTAGAGGTTTAAGGGAGCCTAAAGTCATCATCGTCCCGTTTCTCAAACCTGGCTGATCGTCAGAACCACTAAGGGAAGCTTTCTGAAAGTGTAGATATCTGGATTCTGAGATTCTGATTTAGTAAAGTCCAGGGTGGGAATCTGAGTTTTTAAAAAACTCCTCAGTGATTCCAGTCATCAACCCAGCTTTGGGAACCGGACTAGACTAGACTAGATCCAGACCCTGGGATTGAGAATCAAAGGAACAGGCTCACACAGCCGGCCAGACCCCACGGCCACCCTCGCGGTCCCTGGGCGCAGCAGCCCCTCGGAAGCCGTGTTGAGTTGCACGGAAGCTGTAAAACATGGGAGCGAGAAGATGCTCCTCCGCTAGAGAACTGAGGCCAGTACTTAAAAGTGCTCCAGAGAGAGAAATCATGTAAAGGAGAAAGAATGGATGAGAAAACCTATGCACAAGTATAAATTGTGAGCACTGTCATTTTGACATGGATGGGACAGTTTGTAGCCCTGGTGTTCCTGTGCCATCCCTCGACAACACCCCCTTGAAGGAGTGCGAAGACTGTGGTCAAATACCAGTGTGACACAGGCAGACCTGGACTTTCTCAGAGCCTAAGTGATGTCCCTTCCCATTCTAGTGGGCAGGGGAGCCTCTGCCGGTCCCCCCAGAAGGTTGCCAGGCTCACCTGGCGGGGTGTGTGAGCCATGGTCGTGGTCATGTGCCCACCCAGAGGCACCGCTTTGCACCTGAGTCTTTCCGCCACCAGTTCGGAAAGGTGCCGAGGTCACTTGGGAAAGACAGACCACGACACAGTGCAGACTTTGGAGGTGGGTGTGGGTTCAGGTGAGCTTTGCTGCCCACTGAGCACCACACTGTTCAGATTCGAGGCAGTCCCGCCCCATCATCTGGGCTACCCTCCTAGGAGGGAATTTTCCAGCCACTTTATGGCCCACAGTACTAGCTCAGGAAGGTGAATCAAGAGGCTTTGTGAGGAGAAAAACTGCCTTTGTCCCTTAGTTGGGAACACTTCTCCAGGGCCAGGGGGACAGCCAGTGACAGGAGCACAACCTAAAGAGGAACACAGTCGGGTTGGGATGGGCCCTGGGCTCCCACTGGGGCCAGCGTGCTGGGCACCCTCCCCTGAGCCCAGCTGCAGCCAGATTGGGGGCACCAGCCCAGAGTTAAGAGACTTGTTCGATTCAGGTCTTTTCTAACCCCACGTCCTATACGTGTGAGCATCCAACTCATTTCTTTTTTAAAATTAATTAATTTTATTTTTGGCTGTGTTGGGTCTTCGTTGCTGCACACGGGCTTTCTCTAGTTGCGGCGAGCGGGGGCTACTCTTCGTTGCGGTGCGCGGGCTTCCCATCGCAGTGGCTTCTCTTGTTGTGGAGCATGGGCTCTAGGCGCATGGGCTTCAGTGGTTGTGGCTCGTGGGCTCTAGAGCGCAGGCTCAGTAGTTGTGGCACACGGGCTTAGTTACTCCACAGCATGTGGGATCTTCCCAGACCAGGGCTCGAACCAGTGTACCCTGCATTGGCAGGCGGATTCTTAGCCACTGCGCCACCAGGGAAGTCCCCTAACTCATTTCTGTGTCCCCTTCTTACCTCCTGTGCCAGAAGTGCTGCCCCCCCGCCCAAGTATAAGTCCGAACGCTATCCTACACTCTCCTGGTTCGTGAACATGTTTTAACACTCTTCCAGGTGCCTTATGTGGACGTCATCTGTGTGAACAGTTACTACTCCTGGTATCATGACTACGGGCACATGGAAGTGATTCAGCTGCAGCTGGCAACCCAGTTTGAGAGCTGGTATAAGACCTACCAGAAGCCAATTATTCAGAGCGAGTACGGAGCAGAAACCATCACAGGGTTTCACGAGGTAAGTAGTGTAGACATTCGAGTTATTTTTTCGCTCTCTTGGACAGTGATGTCATTCACTGCCCCAGGCTAGAAAGGTGCCTCCTTCCCGGTCCCTCACTTGTCCTGATGACCTCCTATAGCTCACCAGGCTCACCTTAACCTACACCTCCACATGGCTGCCCTGGGCTCAGCCTCTGCCTCACTTGAGTGGTCCTCAGACAGCCTCCCACTAGCTGGTCAAATGGTCTTTGGAGCAAATCCAAACCTTGGGAGTCCCGTCACTGGCTTCTCCTGGCCCACAGGACGAAGCCCTAATCTGTGGTCAGGGCTGTCAACACCCTTTGCCCTGTGCCATCTCCCAGGCCTTCATCCTCCTTTGCCTTCAGTCCTGGACCCTGGCCTGTTTTCGCTGTGCTCACTGGCCTCTGCTCTGGCTTGGCCTGTTCCTTCTACCTAGAATGCCCTTCTTAGCACCATAATCATCAACTAATGGATTCTGTTTTGTTTTTTTTAAGGGATTATTTATTTATTTACTTGTGTATTTATGTATGTATGTATGTATTTATTTATTTTGGGCTGCATTGGGTCTTTGTTGCACCGCGGGCTTTCTCTAGTTGTGGCAAGCGGGGGCTACTCTTAGTTGCGGTGCACGGGCTTCTCATTGTGATGGCTTCTCTTGTTGTGGGGCACGGGCTGTAGGCACACAGGCTCAGTAGTTGTGGCGTGTGGGCTCAGTAGTTGTGGCTCGCGGGCTCTAGAGCACAGGCTCAGTAGTTGTGGCGCACGGGCTTAGTTGCTCCGCAGCATGTGGGATCTTCCTGGACCAGGGCTCGAACCCATGTCTCCTGCATTGCCAGGTGGATTCCTAACCATTGCACCACCAGGGAAGCCCAACTAATGGATTCTTACTCAGCATTTGAGCCTCAGCTTAGGTGGCCCCTCTTTGGTGAGGTTTACCCCACCTGCCTGGGCAGAGGAAACTCTTCCCCCTGCTCCGTCTCTGTCTCAGCATTTCTCACTGTGCACTGTCATGATCTCTTTGGCTCTCTCCTTGACCAGACCGAGGGCTCCAGGAGGGAGACTAAATCCTATTTATCGTTGCTTCCCAAGCACTCAGCAGGGTCCGGCACACAGCGGGTGCTAACTGATACTTGTTAAGGCAATGAGTGAGATCTTGGAGCAAGATTTTGGTTTTGGGGGGAGTTTTTTTTTTTTGGCTGCGTTGCACGGCATGCAGGATCTTAGTTCCTCGACCAGGGATTGAACCCACACCCCCTGCATTGGAAGCATGGAGTCTTAACCACTGGACCACCAGGGAAGTCGTTGGAGCAAGGTTTAATCACTAGCTTTTTCTCCTTGTTTTGTCCATTTCCTCACCAAAGATAGGCTGTTTTGTCTTGTGGGGATTGTTTTCATGTGGATTCTTGAACCCCAGCCAGCTGACACTCACCTGTCACAACGGCTGGGGTTCCTTGTTGACACATTTCTTCATTTGCTGATCCTTAGTAGGTTGAACAGTAACCCAAATGGACTCCCTTATTCTGTTCACACCCTTAAATTCATCTTGCCTACACAGAGTGCCACTTGGACAGACTGCTAATGTAGGGGGAAGTATCTTATAAAGACAAAGTATGTACATTTGTCCTCCCTCTTTGAAAAGGTGACCAACTCCGAATTTTTAACAAATTCTGAAAAGGACTTCCCTGGTGGTCCAGTGGTTAAGACTTCCCCTTCCAATGTAGGGGGTGTGGGTTCGATCTCTGGTCCGGGAGCTAAGATCCCACATGCCTCCCGGCCAAGAAACCAAAACATAAAACAGAAGCAGAATTGTAACAAATTCAATAAAGATTTTTTTTAAAAAAGGGAAATTCTGAAAGAGTCTGGGTCAGCACTCTCTGATAGTGCCTTTGTGGTGATGGAAATGTTCTAGACCTGCACCGTCCAGAACGGGAGCCACTGCCACGTGTGACTTTTGAGGACTTGGAACGTGACTAGCGTGACTGATGTAGTTTAAAGTAGTTTTAAATTTAAATAACCTCGTGTGGCTAGCGTTAGACAAGGCAGGGTCATTTCCATTAAAACACAGAAGGAACTCGACATCTTGCCCTGCCCTCAAATCCTGCTTTGGAACTGCAGCAAAACAGGGCTCAGTGGTACAGTCGTATCTTCGGTGTATAGCAGCTTTCACTGTTGTCGTTCTGTATCTTTTTTTTTTTTGGCTGTGCCACGAGGCATACAGTATCTTAGTTCCCCGACCAGGGATCGAACCTGTGCCCCCTGCAGTGGTGCAGTGGAAGCACAGCGTCTTAACCACTGGACTGCCAGGGAAGTCCCTATAATAGCATTTTTTTCCTATAATAGCATTTTTATTTATTTATTTATTTATTTTGGCTGCGCCAGGCCCTAGTTGTGGCACTCGGGATCTTTAGTTGTGGCATATGGGATCTAGTTCCCTGACCCTATCTTTCTAGTTTGTCACTTTGTCTCCAACGCCTGCCATATAAGCAGATACTAAATAATTATTTGTTGAATGGATGAATGGGCTAAACAGCAGCTACTTACCCAGAAGAGATACAGATGAATCTGAGGCGAGTTAAATCTGAGTCACACTAGTTCTCAAAGTATGCACTGGCAGCTACTTCAAACTTGAGTTTTAAATTTATTATCCAGAGACATACTTTTACTCCTAGTGTAGTTCAGCTTTAAGACTGCACTGGGGAATAGAGATGTTAAAGATAAAGCAAATATTAAATTCTGTTTATGGGAATTCCCTGGTGGTCCAGTGGTTAGGACTTGGCACTTTCACTGCCGAGGGCCCCAGTTCAATCCCTGGTCAGGGAACTAAGATCCTGCGTGCCACGCAGTGTGGCCAAAAAAACCCAGTTACTAATTAAGGTGTTTTTTTTGTTTGTTTGTTTTTTTACCCTGGGCTATGTCATACCCTGGCTGTGTCCCTACACCAGCATCAGCAAGTCCTGCAGTCACTATAGCCCACCATGAGGACAGATATTTTGGTCATCACGTGGATCTTTATTTTTATCTAACATTTACAGTCCTGCTTGTTCTGAGTCCTAAATTCTCTTTGCCTTGACTTCCAGGACCCACCTCTGATGTTCAGTGAAGAGTACCAGAAAGGCCTGCTTGAGCAGTATCACGTGGTTCTGGATCAAAAACGAAAAGAATATGTGGTTGGAGAGCTCATCTGGAATTTTGCTGATTTTATGACTGACCAGTGTAAGTGGCAGTTCGGTGCATGGAATGTACTGCTTCTCCTTTTTTCAGGTTGGCATTTTAGTTCAGGACGTTTGGTTGTAAGAACCCTGGAAACAAGAAGGGGGAAAGCTGATGTAATCAATGCAGGCTACATAGAGGATTCCCTAGGAAAAGTAAGTTGCTTTTAGCAAGCAGCCATCACTTGCTGGCTGCCTAAATCATTTTAAGGTAAACAAGCAAATGGGAGAGGCTACCGTCTCAAGGCAGAGGTGGCTAGCTTACCTCTGTGTTTCACCACAGTATGAGGAAAAAGTGGACCTCGTACTGGATTTATTTGTGGGATATACTCATTATTCCAGAATAAGGTACAAAGCCCGAGGAACTTCAGATATTTCAGTCTGTTTTATATTATTCACTTATAAAAGGCAAGTTTGCCAAATACAGGTTAAGTGTCAAAAGGTTTTGAATGTGGGAGTGTTTAAAAGCTTTCAAGGTGAATACGACCTGTACTTTCTCAAGTGGGGATAATGAGGGCTACTTCACAAAAGTTCCAAATGAGTTTCCCATTTCTTTCTATCCCTCTAGGTAACTAGCTTCTTGATATACCATAAACTTAGGATAGCAATCTGGAGAGGAAGGGAAGGATTTGGTAGTAGTGGGAATTACATTACATTGCTTATGGGGAAAGACAGGTTTTTAGAAGGTTAAAGGTTTGTTTTGATATATTTTTATTTATTTATTTGGTTGCACCGGATCTCAGTTGTGGCAGGCAGGCTCCTTTGTTGCAGCTCGCTGGCTCCTTAGTTGTGGCATGCGAACTCTTAGTTGCAGCATGCATGTGGGATCTAGTTCCCTGACCCGGCATCAAACCCGGGCCCCCTGCATTGGGAGCACGGAGTCTTAACCACTGTGCCACGAGGGAAGTCCCTAGAAGATTAAGGTTTAATTAAAAATCCGAATGGGAGAGGTGAAGAAAAAAAGAGAGAGCATGAGCCTCCACTCTGCTTTTGGCAAATGAGATTAACAGCTCCTGGAAATAAGCTTGGATGGAAGTCTAGTTTTGTGACTAGGTGCACTGCTTCGCATAGTAAGGAATTAGCTGTGTGACCCTGTACAAGGTACCTACCTTTTCACAAGCCTGTAAAGTGGGGCTAACGCCTACCACCTTGCAGGTTGACACAGGGATTCCATTTGACGAAGCGCTTGGCACAGTGCCTGGCGTTTGCTTTTCGTGGAAGAAATTATTGTTGTCTTGAGCTTTTCAGTGGGAAAGACCTGCTTTCCATTTAACAGAAGCGGTGGTTTCTCTAGGAGATGGAGGGGTTCGCTGGGAGTGTAGCTGCTCCTTTCCCAGCTCCAGCTCTGGCGGACTTGCCACCAGGGATGGGGACCCAGCTGAAAGTCTGCCCAGCGGGACTTTAAAATCTACGAGTAGCTCCCTCTTAGGCGCCTGTGACTGGTCAAGTCTCTGGCTCCCACTAGCACAGTTGTCTCCTCAGAGAGGCGCAAGCCTTTCCAAGGGGAACTTTGTCTCAGCCCTGCTCCAGCTACCAGGCAGGTGGGTACCCATAATGTCTTAAACCTTATTTTGCAAGTAAAAGATAAATAATTTTGGATTACTTCCCTAACAGAAGAAAAATTAACACGCCAGGGAGCTAAGTGTTTTTGGGGAGCAGTGGTATTTAAATCTTTAACCCGTTAAGGGGCCACTTCATCAGATACCACTTCAGACCAAGCATCTCTAAACCATGAGGACCTCTCTGTTTAGTGCCCAGCTTGGCTCCAGGCTGGTTGTGACTTGGCCCATCAGAAGTCATCTGAAATACCTTTTGCCTTGTTTTTAGCACCACAGAGGCCGATAGGGAATAGAAAAGGGATCTTCACTCGTCAGAGACAACCGAAAAGTGCAGCATTCCTGTTGCGAGAGAGATACTGGAAACTTGCCAATGAAACCAAGTGCCACCGGTCAGCTGTGAAGTCACAGTGCGTGGGAAACAGCCCGTTTACTTTTTAAGCAAGAACTACCTCTCTGCCGACCAGGGCTCTGTCAGCCCCTCCTTCCCAAGTAGGGGGCGACTTCCACAGGACACAGAGCAAGCGCTTCCTGGACTGTGCATGGCAGACCGGGAAGTTTTCTGGTCTGGATTTTGTGGTCATTTGCTAGAAGGGAACGTTAGAGGTGAAAATAAAGGCTTTTGTAGTATGAGAGTAAAGAGTTGGCTTAAAAGCGACCATCCGTAAATTCAATGATGTGTACTGCTGAAGCATCGGAAATGGTTTTTCTGTGTCAGGCTGTTTTCATGGCCTTAACCGAGTATGGAGTCTTGAGAAACCTCTGCTTCAGCACTCGCCACAGTCAGAGTCGCTGGTTACAGACTGTGTGCTGCCACAGGAACAGCCCTGCCGCTTTGGGGCCACCTGTGCTCAGATGCCACCTGTGCTTTAGGCCGGCCTTGACTTGAGTGGGTGACAGTAAAAGACAAGTGCTAGTAACTCCACAGATAAGCCGAAGTCCCAGCACATTCACAGAAAGTAGTATCATGCTGGAATAATGCACAAGGTTGAGGTACCAGTTTCCAGAGTTAAGCTGACACGTAAGCATAAGAAAGGTAAGAGTTGAGGAATGTCAGAATTGGAAGGGAGCTGAGAGGTTACCAGTTCTTCTGGGACGTTCTTCCAACCTCAGCCATAGTTTTTTCTGGACTGAGAGGGATAGATGGGCGTAGAAGCCCACTGGGCCATCACAGCTGACTTCAGTGAATGTGATGAGGCCTCTTTAAACGGGCTGGGCCTGCAGACAAGTAGGACAGGCTTTTGTACCTCTGGGTGACGCCACCCGCTCTGCTCCTGAGGATGGTCTTTCCTTATGGAATCTTTCCTTCTCCTCCTCCTCTTCCACAGGCTCCATTAAGGCAAGTAAGGCACATTGTTTGTAAGAGTTCAGTGTTCATCTATCTTGGTTTAAAGCTGAAAGCTTTGGAAAAATACTGTCCAATCAAATAGAAGACCATGAAACAATACAATTCTTAATACAGAGCTTGATCCACTTCACTTGCGGGGGATTTCACATCTCAGCACATGCCCTTTTTTACCCTTCCTTTCCAAGCTCCGTGAAAGGAACAGTACAGATAATTTAACCTCATTTTAGTGGCCGTCTTTAGACCATCTTTAAGAAATGAGAGTGTAGTCAGTTCAAATAATAAGTTAGGAATTCTAGTGGTTACATATTTCTTTCATTACCACTAAACTTAAGTCCCTTGGAGTAATCAAGTTTTGTGTTCCAGTTTAATGTCAAGGAATAATATATAAAACTCTTTACTTGACAAACATTAAAAAAAAAAATTAAACATCACAAACACACTTAAATGTTTTACAAATTAGAGGTAAGGTCCATTTCTTAAGTCCTAAGGTTCTAACACAGGGCACATTTGTTCTATTCAATAAACTATGGCTAACTGCATTTCAAATGGAATCATCTTTCTTACAGATGTTAACTTTTTAGATGATAACAGTGGAGTGTTCGAGATGAGCTAAAGTAAAGCAGTGGGAAGACAGCTGTTAAGCAGTAACATCTTTTTCATTAATTCTGGACAACCACATACATCATAAATCAACAGGAATTCCAAGAACTAGAATCTCTGAGAATTCTGCGTGTGTCTTCTCTAAGTTACATATAATTTAAGAGAAGAATCAACCCAGTACACCTGTAGAAATACATTTCAGTACACGTAGAAATGAAGCTACAGAAACAATTTCAAGAATAATTTATAAGACTGAATTCATTTCTGCTTCTTTTTTGAAATGCAGTACTGCAGTATAAGAATGAGGGCAGCACAACTTCCACAGGTAACTTCTACATTTATTTTATACCAAAAAGTTATGTGCAACAAATAAACATTCTTACATATTTACATTTGTTTTTACCAGTTAGCAAAACTGTGTCCTAAATCTCTGATAAAGAGTATTTCTATCTATATTAAAGGGGAAATCTGCCCAGTGAACTCCATTTTAAATGAATGTTTACTCTGGAGCTTAAAGCACTAGTAATAAATATTTTTGATGGAACGTACTATACAGATCATACACCTAATACTTAGGCCATGCTTAATAGTTTTATAACAAAACATTTCACCTTTTCTGGGCTAATTTGTCAAAAAAAATGTTTAACCAAGTAGCCTGGACTCCTACCCCCGCCCCCTTTGATTTATTGAAGGGTAGCTCTCACAAATTAGGAATCATAAGTGCTGCCTAAAATATCTGAATAGAAATGTTTCACCAGTGCTTGCCTGTTGGGGAGAAATACACGAGGACAAAGACTGAATATCAGGTATTCCTTCCCAAATAGGTTACCAAAAATAATAGTGGGTTTCTTGTTGGCATTTGTTCAATACTGATTTTTCAGGACAAGATCTGTCAGCATTCATTGGTGTCAAGCTTTGCTGAAGACAACTTTGCACTTTTGCTGATAGTCTTAAAAATAAATGAAATACAAGAAAACTAAAGCCAACTAACAGTTTTAATTTCACTGTAGTCTTCGTCCTGTATCCTACCTAGTAGGTCCAAGGATCTCTTGTACCAAATGATAGATCTTTGTCTCTTTGTAAGAAAATAGTCAATGCTTTCAACATCCTTAGAAGTAATGGATTTAAGGAGAGGCTCTATACATCAAGTAAAAGTAATTCCTGGCACACAGCTAGTCAAACCTGAGTTATTTCACCAGACGTTTACCCTCACTGATAGCAACTAGCTGCAATGAAAAATACCAAATCCTCCAAACCACCTAGATTCCCTAGAATTTATCATCTAACTACAACTTCTCTTATTTCTTCAAATGATAGGACTGTCAAATAGATAAGAGGCTTCGTTGTTACAAGTCATTTTGAAAACCAAGAAGCAGAAATTCAGTTTCTTCCCTAATCTGTTCTTCCACATTGGTGGCTAATAATGTTGCAGTGTTTAAATATTCTGTCTAAAATAGTCAAAATAGGGGGCTTCCCTGGTGGCGCAGTGGTTGAGAGTCCGCCTGCCGACGCGGGGGATGCGGGTTCGTGCCCCGGTTCGGGAAGATCCCACATGCCGCGGAGCGGCTGGGCCCGTGAGCCATGGCCGCTGAGCCTGCGCGTCCGGAGCCTGTGCTCCGCAACGGGAGAGGCCACAGCAGTGAGAGGCCTGCGTACCGCGCAAAAAAAAAAAAAAGATAAAATAGTCAAAATAGCCCTCAGATTTTATAACATGGGGTTTTCCCCCTCTTCTGGGGTGTAATTGAGGATGTAGAGGGAAGCCTAAATTCTTCCCGGGCAAAAATACCAAATCACACGCATGGGGGAGGGGAGGCGCGGGGGACGGGGGCGGGTCCTTTGCTTACAGCGAAACAGGCGTCACCGCGCTGGTATTTCAGGCAGCACATGGTCATTACCCAGTGAAAAGAAGGATATTAATTCTGGGGTCATAGGAATGTGGCAACAATTTTTCTACAACTGAAACAGTGGTTTACCCAAGGCTTAGAAAAGCAAAGGAAAAACTCGAAGGGTCTGGCTGAACACTGACGTTCTCTCATGTAAGAGTTGAAGATGTTCGCAAGAACGCAACATCAAGACAAGCTTTAACTCTACTCTAACTGATTGATACAAAATATGGTGAAAAACAATTTTAAATTGGTACACGAGGAACTTGTTTAGCACGACCAGAGTTATATATACCACGAAGTCTTCACCGTGAAGCCAGTTCCACTCTAGCGGAGAAAAGAGAAGCAGTAAACTGCTGGGTAGACGGGAAGCACTGCTACAAGACGACCTCGTTGCACGGTTTTCCAGCATTAGGACTTGTTTCTCCATAAATATCAGACATCTAATCAATGCTTTCTAGAGTTCTTTAACTATAGAAACAAGAACAATACATAGATAATAAAACAGGCATTGAAATATTCACATTCTTGGGAGAACATAAGCCTTGATGAAATCTGAATTAAGCTATCTTTTACAAAACTGGTTTAAACTGGTTGAAAGTACATTACAACTCAGATTTTATACCTGCCTTGGGCCAGAAGAATACACTGCATCAATTATGACAGTTAGTTGGAAACTGCTGAACAGTTGCTGACTCTGCACGTTACAGTTTACAGAGCAGAGCCTGTCCCCTCCCTTCAAAAGAAGGCAAATAAAGCACTCAAAAGTTACCCGGTCTCTTTTTAACATAATGATGAATGGAATTGGAGGCAAAAACATGGCTACTACTTCTCAATCTAAGGAATAAAATGATCATACGGAACCTTTCTATAGAATGCAAGTTTTCTACTTCATGCTAAGAAAGGAAGGAAGGACACTTCTGCCCAAGTTCAACACACAAAATATTTGGTTTGAGATTTAAGACAGAAGGCACTTTTAACAATCTGATATAAGATGTTAACCATAGAAACATACTGTCACTATTTCATTTGGGCTTATTCAGATCACTTTCACAAACTCTGCATTTGGGTAGTTATTAGAAAGAGTACTGTATTTCACCTTGAGATATTTCTACCTTTAGTACTCCTCTCCCAGTTAAGCAAACTGAGCAGCATGTCAGCCCTAAAGTTTACAAATCCAGTATCTGACTCTAAAACAATTAAACTAGACGTCTGGTTAATTAGTGTAGAAAGAAGCAGGGAAAACACTACAGAGCTACCCAAGAGCAATCCTGCTCTGGAGCGACTGGGCTTCTACTGATGATTTCAAAGTCAATACTGTTTGGTTGACTGGCACCAATGTTAAGGAAAATTATCTGCATGAAAATTCAACTGTTGTAAGAGATTTTACCTAAAAATGCCATATTAATATTACCAGCTTTTCTCCAAAGAAATCTACCCATTTTCCCATCTTTAGTACCCTGAAGGCCTTGGACTTGAAAGTCTGGTCACATGACTCATTCTGTAAGGTTATAATTGATCCAGTTTTATGACTAGGTACAAGCTTGACTTGAATGTCCAAATTTAGTTTCCTCCTTTCAGAGGAAGGAGATGAAAGGGAACCAATCACCCTATTATTTTTGCTGTCAATGCTAGACCCACAGCTCTCAGTGCTTTTCACAAGATGCTCTGTATGGACTTACTATTTTCACTATTTCTTCAGTCAACGTTAAGCTGACATTTCTTCATTGCTACACTTCAACTAAACTGTACAGTAAGTTCTGCAGGGATGGATCCAATAGTTCTACCTTTATTTACAAATATCACATGAATGGATTCTAGTTGAATCTACATGTTTAAATCCATCAGCTAAAAACATTACATATTGTAAACATGGCAATATTTAATACAGTATCTATTCTAAAATATTTTCATGTCATGATCACATTTGTTATAGCTGAAATGTAATTTATACACATTAGAGAATTACTAGCAATGGTTGCTCACTTTACATTGAGGGAAGGAGGCTAGGGCTACATTTATTATTTCAGAAACATCTCCAAAGTAAAGTTAAAGCTTGTCTTTGATTGGCTCGGCGTATCCTCTTTTTTTCTTTTTTTTTTTTTGTATCCATATTTAAAATGAAGATTGACACAGAAAATAGCTAGAGCTCCTTCTAATTTACAGGATTTTAAAAAATCAGTTTAAGATTCTTAGGGAAAGTGTCTGTTGTGAAGAATTAAAAAAACAACAACAACAACAACCAAACTGCTGCAAAATAAACTTAATGGAAAAAGGGACTTCAGACTGTCAGTTAAGAGTTCGTCAGGTGGTTAGTCCTGCTTGGGCTGCAGTTGCCGTTTCCAGGCCTCATTCAAGTAAACTAGTCGTTTGTAGTTGATGATAAGAAGAATGAAGTTCAGCACATATGTGATGACGCAGATTATGCAAAACTCCTTCAGCACAAAGTACAGGATGTAGGCCAGGTACAAAGACCCCACTACAGACATGATGGAGGATGTCATGAGGATTAAAGCTGCAACTGCACTTGCTGTCAGGCCTGCAAGAGAAAGAGACACTTGGCTCAATCAGACCTTGACACTGGAGAGAGAGTTTCTGAGTTAAAAGGTAACATTTTGTGATTTGCTGCAGTGTTGGAATACTGATCTTACAACAAAACATTCTGAAATTGGAGGACAAAAACTACAGGTCTATTTTGTTAAGATTATGCAGGTTGACTCTGCACACAGGATACCAGTTTTATAGCTGCAATATTTTTGACTTGTCAATATTCTAGATGAAATATTAACTTATTTCATAAACCAGCCTCAGTTAAGGCACACAAAGAAAATACGCAGTCTCTCAATCACATTATGCAATGAGCAGATTTGTAAACTGACAGCCCTGCCTCCTCTAATGAATAAAACAACACGAGGACCACAAGCTTCTCGTCCAAGCAGGACACATTTGATGAGACCCTCCCCCTGGCCTTCTCACTATAGGTAGAATCCCCACCTGTGGAAAGTAAAATTTGCTTTCCCATGTTTAGACAAAAAAAAAAAACATAATGAGAGATGGTTACACCAACATGCTGCTGAAGAAAAAAAAATCATGATAAACATCTCAGAAAGGGCTCTCCCTGAGGCATAAAAGAAACCGCATTTGGCCAGTTGGCCACATGTGGGTCAAACCAGATCAAATTATGTGTGCTAAGCTTGGTTCTCAAGACGAAGGCTTGCCTGAATTCTTGATGCTACCTGACATCTTCACATGTATTGTTTTGTAATTTCCTGTAGCCAACAGTATTGAAAACGTGCATTTATTTTCAAGGACAGAGGAGACAGCAGAGCATATTAAACTACCTATACCCTCCTACCCAGCAAGTAATGGATAAGGATCACAGAAACAGGAAAAAATAAGAATAGGTGGTAGTGGTTTGAAGAGGTTAATTAAGAAGCTGAAATCCCCGCTGCAAGTAGAATGAGAAGTTGCCTGTGGACGCAGCTTGGCCATGGGGGCCGACTTGCCCCAACACCAGTCAGTACTAAAGAATATGATGCTTTAACAAGGCTCTTTAAGACTAAGATGCTGTTGCATTACTTATGCCACCTGCTTTTGTAAATAAAGATTTATCGTAACCCAGCCACGCTTATTCATGTATGTAATGCTCATGGCTGCTTTTGCACTAGAGTGGCAGAGTTGAGCAGTTGCAACAGTCAGAAAAGCCTAAATTATTTCCTATCTGGCCCTTTACTAAAAAACATAGTTTGCTGACCTCATCTGTGCTAACATCGAAAACCTCAGAAATTAATGCTGTCAGGGACTTCCCTGGCGGTCCAGTGGTTAAGACTCCGCACTTCCACTGCAGGGGGTGCGGGTTCGACCGCCGGTTGGGGAACTAACTAAGGTCCCACATGCCGTGTCGTATGGCCAAAAACTAAAAAATAAAAAAAAAAAAAAAAAATTAGTGCTGTCACCTTAATTTTATCTAAGAAAGTTCATTTCAAAATGATATGGGCGAGTTATTTACCCTCTCTCTGCAACTCTTTTCCTTAACTGTAAAACTGTGATGATAATCATGACTGCCTCCGAAGACTGTTGTGCAGATTAAAAGAGCTAATTCCCTGGCATTCCAGTGGTTAGGACTCGGCACTTTCACTGTGGTGACCTGGGTTTGATCCCTGGTCGGGGAACTAAGATCCCGCAAGATGAGAGGCGCGGCCAAAAACAAAACAAAACCAAAAAAGGCTGTATCTTGAACAACTTAGAAGGAAGTGAAGATGATGTGCTCTGGAAAACAATGTTTGAGGAGTTCAAATGTGCCACAGTGGTAAAGACACTGACACTAAAAATGCATGTGAATGCATAAAATGTGAATAGAAAGGTACATATGGGGACTTCCCTGGTGGCGCAGTGGTTAAGAATCCACCTGCCACTGCAGGGGACACGGGTTCGAGCCCTGGTCCGGGAAGATCCCACATGCCGCGGAGCAACTAAGCCTGTGTGCCACAACTACTGAGCCTGCGCTCTAAAGCCCGCAAGCCACAACTACTGAAGCCCGCGTGCCTAGAGCCTGTGCTCCCCAACAAGAGAAGCCACCGTAATGAGAAGTCTACGCACCGCAACAAAGAGTGGCCCCCGCTCGCCACAACTAGAGAAAGCCCGCGCGCAGCAATGAAGACCCAACGCAGCCAAAAACAAATAAATAAAAATAAATTTATAAAGATGCATATGATACACATGATTTAAAATGTGTATATAATGAAATTAACAAAGTAAATATTGTAAACAAATTTGTTCAACCCCTATCTCCAAGAATTAACACAGTCTAAGCTTTTCTTAGGTTATTTTAATATGGGCTTATACTTTATATTCTTCAGAAGTCCAAACAAAACAATTAAATGGAATAAAAGTGGAAGTCTCAACCCCAGCCCCCAACCACACCATTTTCTGTGCATTTACATGCATATATATAAACATATATTTATCCTACATCTATTATACCACAACTTGCTTTTTTCACTAAACTATGTCTATATCTTCCAGGGTTTGTACACCTACTTTTCCCTTCAATGGCTACATAGTATTTTCTAGTATGCTTGTAACCTAATTTATTCAACCATTACGTTTTGCTAAGCTACTTCCAATTTTTTGCTATTTTAAACTGTACTGCTGTGAATATTCTTGTGCGTATTTTCATATTTCTGCAGGATATACAGATATGGAATTGGGCAAACATGACGGGAGTATTGAGAAAAATTGATACACAATTTGCCTTGTAGTAAATCTACTGCAGCTAGACAGAAGACCTGGCAGATAACAGGATAAAATATTAACAATTGAAATGCAAGGACAAAAAAGGATAGATTTAACTCTAAAAGTATGAAAACTCTTGTACAATCAAAACTCACGAAACTAACATTAAAAAGGCTAAAGAATGGGTAAAATGTCTGTAACAGATATGAAGTGTACCATTATCAGGATCCCAATAACTAAATTGGCAAGAAAAGTAAATTAACGTACAGTAAAATTAAAATAATGGCTACTAATATGTAACTGCTGAATTAGAAATTTTACAGAAAAAACTTTTAAAAAATGAGGATAGATGAAGCTTTGGGGAAACCTGACAACTGAGGGAAAAGCAGTTTGGTTATACCTATTAAAATCCATACCAAAAAAAACTTTGTTTGTTGATTCTTTCATCCTACAGTTAGATATTTATTTTGCAGAAATAATTCAAAGAGGGAAGGGGGTATGAGAAGGGGACTTTAAACAAAGTTGATCAGTGCAGTGTTATTTAGGATATTAAAAAATCTGAAGCCTTGATGTTCACAATAATAAAACACTTAAGAGGATAGACAATGTAAGAGAGTTCACATAAAATTAAGTGAAAAAAGTAGACTACAATGGCAATAGTGGCTATGTAAAGGTGATGGAATTATGACTGAATATCATATACCATTAATGTTTTCTCAATGCATAATATTTTAAAATAGCTACAGAGTATACAAAATAACAAGGGAAGAGGTTTCCAGGGCAAACTGTTTGGAGTAATAATTTCCCTGAATGGGACTTGTTTTTCTAGGCATTATGGGATGCTGCTATCCCTGATTAAACACCAACAGATACCAAGTTCAGCATGAGCTTCGTCAAAATCTTAGTGAACCAAGTTTTCACAACACCAAAATGTGTTACAAACCAGTTGTTCTATCACTAACATATGCTTTTATTTAATATAAAGACACACATCAGGGCAAAGACACAAAGTACTAAATGAAATATAACAAACTTATTTTTGTACTTTGCTGTAAAATACTTACCAAGTAATAACTGTAGTATATAAAATATAAGTCCAAAGACACTGTTTGGCTGGTTTAATACACCATCCTTTCCAAAAATGGAACCCAAAAGACCAAATCCTCGACCCCATCTGTAAAATAAAGAAAACCAGTAACCCTATACTTGAGTTTTCCTATTTTAAAAAATGTAGAATTATCTGAGCATATCATGCCCACATACCCATCTGAATCTCTAAATTGCCCATTTCTATGTAGTCTCTTTTCCTGACAGCATTAGTATTTGCAGAGGAAGGGCTCTTTCGATTTAAGCCAGGGTCTCTTAGCAGCAGCACCACTGACATGCTGAACTAAACGCTTCTTTGTGGTGGGGGGCTATTCAGTGCGTTACAAGATGTTCAGCAGTATCCGTGGCCTCCACCCACCTGCCAGCTGTGCCTCCCAAAATGTCGTCAGCCATTGCCAAATGTCCCCTGGGGGCAAAATCACCACCAGTTAAAAGTCACTGATGTAAGCTCCCCTAACATAGACCATAATGTTGCCTCCTGACCGGGACATGCATGAGGAAACACATCCTGGGAACATACCTTTAAATGTACGATAGAATATCAGAAACTTAGTCTTTCCCTAGAATCTTATCTCAAGAGTAAAAAGTTGATACATTATTTGCCCCATCAGTTTTTATTTGCAGTTTAACTGAAAATGTTGCATTTGACTTTACATTTTCAGAATCTTTCTTATTAAAAATTAAATTCTGATTTAATAAAAATTTGATACAAATATCAAACTAACATTTACTTTGGATAAAAACCTTTGATAATAACTTTAACTCTGAATGAAAGTGTTTTTTAAAATACCAAAAAGAAAATGTTTTCAGTCTGTAGCAAATTACTCAATAAAATCTAAACTTGGGTTCTGAAGACAAACTACCTGAAAATAAGGATAAATAAGTGATTCCTTACTAGTCACACGACTTTAGTGTCTAAGAAAGAGAGTGAAATCTCTTCATAATGATGATGTTGGGAGATAACCCTAGTTTTACAAGCAAGTGAGAACCATGAAGATTGTTATTATACAATTATATGCGTCAAGGAACACAAAATAATCTCGATCATATTTGTTTATTCTTTTACACATCAAATACTCATTGTGTTCCAGGTGCAGACAGTGGGTCAGGTGCTGACTTGTCCCGAGTGAACAAGTCAAAGTGGTGCCCTTGTGGGGCTCATATTCCATTTAGGGAAAAGTAATAGACAAGTAAATGACTAACTTATCTTCAGAAATGGATGCACTATTAACAGATACACAGGAAAGTTGAGAAGGTGGGTTATTCTACATCAGAGCTTTTGAAAATTTTAAACTGCATGCAATCACCTTGGAGTTTTGTTAAAATGCAGATTTTACTGCAGCTGGTCTGTGGTGGGGTGTAGGACTGCATTTCCAAAGAAAACAAAACAAAACAAAATGCTCCCATGTGATGCTCATGCTTCTGGTCTGAGGACCACACTCCGCACCGCTGCTCTAGACAGAGAAGGGGTGGAAGGAGCTACTCCAGCTAGATGGTCAGGGAAGGCCTTTTGCAGGAATTAAATCCTGAATGAAATCCTGAAGCAGCTAATCTCATGAGGAATGCCAAGTACAAAGGCCTGGAAAGAGCTATGACTGTGTAAAAGAAGACCATCAAGGCTGACACTGATGAGGGAGAGTGGCAAGAGAATGAAGCACCGTTCCATCATTTATATAATTTATAGCCTTGTTTGTAGGCCATGATGAAGAGTTTGAATTCTATTCTAACTGCAGTGGGAAGGCAGTCAGTGGCTTTTAAACAGGAGAGTAATATAAGCTTATTTATGATCACTCTTGACTATTGTGTAAAGACCGAACTGCAGGAGGGCAGGGACAAACTATGCAATCACACTTTGAAGCCCTACTCATCTGAAGTAGGAATTCAAATGTAAATCACCAACTTTGGCAATGGAAATAACTGGGCATAGTGCCAGAATTATCATACATAAACAGAATTTTTATATTCTAAGCATTGGTCTATGCCTAATTATTCACATATGATCATGTGGATATTTTCCTTGAAAGCAAAGCAGTAATCCATAGAATGAATGCATCATTTTATCAAAGTAATACATGCATAAGGTTTAAAAATCAAGTAACACTAAAAGCCTTATAAAACAAAATAGAGATATTTCCTACTCCAGGCCTCTCCACACTCAGCTCTGATCCCCATAGGCAACCACTTTGATACCTTTTAACTGTTTTTCCCTTCTATTTACTTCCACGTTTCTAAATAATATGCTTACACTGCTATTTCTTGATTTATCAGTTTTAAATGCTACCTTTTGACCTTCTAATATGGTAGACCAAAATGTTGCTTTAAAAAAAATACAAACATTTTGACATGGAAAGCTTCAAATGTATATACATAAAGTGAAAAGAACAGTGTAATAACCTTAGGTCCCTATCACCCAGCTTCGAAAATTGTGCCTTTCTTGTTTTATCTCCACCTCTACCCCCAACCACCTGATGATTATTTTTAGATTTTTTAAGGTAAAATGTACATACATTTAATGCACAAATCTTAACTGTATAATTTTGACAAATACATACACCTGAGTAACCCTGGTATACAAATTGTAATCCTGGTATACTAGTCCTGGTACAGTAATTCTGGAGTGTGAAGTAATTCCAGGAGTGTGAAGTGAGAATGTAAGTACCTTTCATAAAAAAAACAAAACAAAAAAACACCTCAACATTCTACAGAGTGCTTCCATCTCCCAAATTAAATTGTTAGTCGCTTTGCAGCAATCCACACTCCTCTCCACCCATGAGCAAGACGCACGTGGCTGCCTAGGCTTGTAGGAATCCAGTCTCGGAACCAAAATTAGATCTCTGGTCTCTTGGATCGCAGTGCTGTGCTCTTTCTCTCATGTTGCATTAAGTTATAAAATGCAGTTACCATTCCAGCATTTTCAACCAAACAGAATAATAGCCTAATTCCTTGATAAATACAATTAATAAAGTTGAATAACGCTTAATAAACTTTGATAAGGCTGATGGAATAACTGTTAGCAAGTGAAATCACTAGCAAAGTAGACTGGCATTACATAAGATTATTTTCCTAGGAAAGGTGAATAAGAGCAGATTTTCATAAATGACACTATACTTCACAATTGCTAAGGATGGTGTGAGTAATTAAAAACACTTAGTGAATCTTTTTTTAAAGTTGGAACATTTGAAAATACTGTAGTTTTCTCCCACTTCTAAAAGCTATACAAAAGTGTATGAAATAAATTTTATGTGCTAACTTTATGCTTGGCTTTATCTTAGTTTCTAACCTTTTTCTTCTTGTCCCATCTATATTCAAAACTCTATTATACTAATTATCTGCAGAGCTGCCCCAAGTACTTTATGGAACAAGATGGGATATTAACCAACGGAGCAAAAAGAAATGTTTTCTTAAAGTACTACTTATACAGATGTTCATTTTGCTTCAGTATACTATTGAATAAAATCAATGAAGTGATTATGCAAATGAGAACTTCTCTTTAATCTCTGACTCTAAAAAAAGGATCATCTTTGACCCAAATAGTAACTTCCTTGGATATTCTGTATTTGGGTGCATAGACAACCCATACCTCTTCCCTAGGTATTATGAGAAATTGTTGAAAGGTTTCTAAACACTCCTAATTTTGCCAGAAACAACAAATCTTAAAACCAATTGCTCTCCAACTTGGGTATCCTAGGTCCCTGAACACATGTGATAATGCAATAGACTGAATATAGGAGCTGATGTGAGAATCCAACAGTCTTATCTTATGGCAGGCTTTAAAGAGATTTGCAATAAGAGAAACTAGGCAGTCTTTCCACTATTTTGTGTGTGTGTGTTTGGAAAAAGTTATTATTCATGAAAATATTTTGTTAACATGTAATGGGTTTATTATGTTTCAATGAATGAATACATATTTAAATAATTTCTCAGTTTGTAACTTCTAATACAGTAAATACCAAAGATATAGGGGCTTCCCTGGTGGCGCAGTGGTTAAGAATCTGCCTGCCAACGCAGGGGACATGGGTTCGATCCCTGGACCGGAAAGATCCCACATGCAGCGGAGCAACTAAGCCTGTGTGCCACAACTGCTAAGCCTGCGCTCTAGAGCCCGTGAGCCACAACTACTGAGCCCATGCACCACAACTACTGAAGCCTGTGCTCTGCAACAAAGAGAAGCCACCACAATGAGAAGCCCACACACCACAACGAAGAGTAGCCCCCGCTCACCACAACTAGAGAAAGCCCGCACACAGCAACGAAGACCCAACACAGCCAAAAATTTAAAACAAAAAAAAATATTTAAATAAATAAACCCCACAAAGATATAACTCACACAAACAAAACCTTTTAGGGGTATTCAATAAGTATTAAAGATATAAAGGGGTTCTGACATCAAGAAGTTTGAAAAATCACTGCTTTTGACCAATTCTACCCCCCCCCAACAAAAAGCAAATCACAGATCAGACAAAATTTTAAAAACTGGGGTGAGATAAAGTAGAAATAGAACAACAATCCTAAAATTTTTGTGAAATCACAAAAGACCCTGAAGAGCCAAAGCAATGTCGAGAAAGAAAAACAAAGCCAAAATAAATAAATAAATAAATAAATTTATTTTAAAAAGTATTACTAGCAAACCAAATTCAGCAGCACATTAAAAGGACCGTTCACCATCAACAAGAGGAATTTACATTCGGGATGCAAGGATGATTCAATATATGCAAATCAATGTGTCATCACATTAATAGAATGAAAGAAAAAAACCATATAATAATCTCAACAGACAAAAAGCATTTGATAAATTTTACTGCAAACAATCTTTCATCATGGAAAATCTACCAAGGCTCTAATATCATGATTAAAACATTCAGGAGGGCTTCCCTGGTGGCACAGTGGTTGAGAGTCCGCCTGCCGATGCAGGGGACATGGGTTCGTGCCCCGGTCCGGGAAGATCCCACATGCCGCGGAGCGGCTGGGCCCGTGAGCCATGGCCGCTGAGCCTGCGCGTCCGGAGCCTGCGCTCCGCAACGGGAGAGGCCACAACAGTGAGAGGCCCGCATACCGCAAAAACAAAAA